CAGATCCTGTGCTTGCATAAATCAAGCCACTGACTTATCTTGAACTACCTGCTAAGCTGAAATATGAATTGAGCATTCTTTTTAGTAGATGGCTGTCTTTCTCCTTAAAATGATAAGTCATAGGTAGTAATAAATGATATCTTTATTTCCACTTGAAGTTTTTTTCCCATTGAGCAGTAAGAAGCATTGAAGCTAGTTAGGCCTAAGGATGGCGGAATGGAAAGAGCCAAAATCTGATGACAGGAAGGGTTGGCAGTCTCAACAGGTGGAAGGCTCATGACATTTCCTGAGGATAATTTAGATCGAGAGTTTATTTAGTAGAGTCATGCTTCACTAAGATTTATCTTTATTAGTTCATACCTTGAGACCGACTGTAAGCTATCGGTCTGGCAGTGCTTGCTCTGCTTGGTTTCTGATGACAGATTTAGTCTCCCTCTCTAGAGCCACTTGTCTATCCACACTGTAATAATATTTTCAGTGTTATGTGGGATTATATTTCAGTTCTCGGTTCTGTCACATTCTGTGAATAACAAACATTTCGTGAGGAAGAGCCTGGTCCCCTTCAGGGCTGCGAGCATCTGCTCAGTGTTTGCTATTCTCTCTGTGCCCCAGAGGACCAAGGTTTGATCTGAATATTAATGAAAGCATTATCATCCTATACCTACCAAATGAAGCCATGTTTGTCAAGCTAAGGTGACCTTTCTCTCCAGTGATATTCTGATGTGTTTGTGAGATAATTTTCTCTGTTGATGTATCAGTCATGAAATAATTTCCTTATTTTAGCTATTTTTATTCTGTTTGTTACTTCTCAATTAGTGAGCCTTAATGGGGGAGAATCCGATTTTTATAAATTAACACAAATCTGTAATGAATGCTTCACACACTTATTTTACTCTGAATGGAAGTGAGCTTGAGTTCATCTTCTAGAGCTGTGATCCAGTTTCGTTTTGTCTTTGTCTCTCGTTCTAGCCATAAGGAAATTTGGCTTGCATTTGTTGTCAAATGTTCTTATAGTTAACATGGTGCCTCTTGTCTTGACCTTTAAAGAATATTGTCAGGATATTACTGTAGATTTCATGCTTTAGAGATGATCCAGTGAGAAAACATTAAACTTACACTTTTAATGTGTAAGGGTATTACTCTTTTAAACTCACAGTCCTTTGAGTTATTGGATTTTGAGCTAACATTTGCACAATCCCTCAATCAGACTATTCCTTAAAAACAGGGCATATGATATACAGCAAGGGGTCATTACCCCCTCCTGAGGAAGCCCAGTCCTACTTAGCGTTATTGCTCCTGACCATGAAATATTTAAGATGAGTCATCTTTGACTAGCATCCCCCACCTTTTTTTTAAAAGATTTATTATTATTATTTTTTATTGGAAAGGCAGATATACAGAGAGGAGAGACAGAGAGGAAGATCTTCCGTCCGATGATTCACTCCCCAAGTGAGCGCAACGGGCTGATACTATGTTGATCCGAAGCCAGGAGCCTCTTCCGGGTCTCCCACGCGGGTGCAGGGTCCCAAAGCTTTGGGCCTTCCTCAACTGCTTTCCCAGGCCACAGGCAGGGAGCTGGAAGGGAAGCGGAGCTGCTGGGACTAGAACCGGCGTCCATATGGGATCCCGGGCGTGCAAGGCGAGGACCTTTAACCACTTGCGCCACCGCGCCGGGCCCCCCTACCTTTTTTAAAGCGTATTTGATTTATTTGAAAGCCGAAGTGACAGAGAGGAAGAGACAAAAAGAGACATGTCCTTGGTCTTCTGGCTCATTCTGCAATTGCCTGCATCTGTAAGGCCTGAGCCAGGTTAAACCCAGAAGACAGGAACTTCTTTCTGGTTGTCCAGTGGGAGTCAGGTGGTCCAGGCACTCGGGCCGTCATCTCTGCATTCCCAGGTGCACTAACTGGGGCTTGGATCAGAAGTAGACCAACCAAGAGCTCAAACCAGTGCTCTGATGGAGAATTCTGGTGTCACAGCTGATGGCTTAACCCATGTCCCCGAGCAGCATCCTGTGGCTTACAGGAAATGTAGGAGTTAGTTGGTGGTAAGGAAAGAAGGAATGTATTACTGGTAGAGGAGACAGAGGGAAGGCAGGGATTCAAGAGGGCAGATCGAGGGATGCCCTGTGTACCCTGACAGTGATCTCAGATTCTATGATCTGGGGAGGAGGTTGAAGTGTTTTAAATGAAGGGGTGATGATACTGTGTTCATGTTATAGTTAGACCTCCTGGCAAAGCAGCAGGTGGAGAACACAGAGAAACAGCACTTTCAAAAGTTGTGGCCACAGTGCCGCTGAGGACAAGAATGTTGGTTATGTGAGCAGTGTGAGGCTGTGAGGCCGTAGGTAACGGGACTGTTGATTGAAGTCGAAGGCGTCCAGGGAAGAGAGTACACATGAATCCTGCCTGGAGTTATTCTGAAAGTGATGGGATAGGGACGGTGGAAGTAGAATTGATTTGGGGTTGAGATGGTTGGCTTGGTGGTGGGTCACATTGTGCAAGGGGTGAGAACGTGGCCTGATTCCTGATTTGACTCTCTCTCTCTCTTTCTCACACACACACACACACACACACACACACACACACACACACACACACACACACACACACACACACAGTTCAGGAATAGAGTGGGCCAGGAAGGAAAAATGACGGGAGAAAGGAGTAGACAGACAGTACCTTGGCACTGCCTTTCCTCATCTGCATGAAGTTTGTCTTAATACGTTGGTACCTTTTTAAGGTTCTTCAAGTAAATTTCGAGTCATGTTATCCTGTTGCTTTGCTGTAATGACTCAAGTGGCTGAAATGAAGGCAGAATGGTGGGTTTGACAATGACAGCTTAAGTGGCGTTGTCACACTGCTGTCACTGGCTTTGTGTGACATTAGCCAGGGTACAGAAGCCACACTGCGTTCTTTGCAACACACTCTTAAATCACAAGCACCTTCATTTGATTGTTAAAGTACATCCATTAGTGAGGTGGGTTTTTTTTTGACACATACATGTGTTTAAGAATTCACATTTAAATCATAAGCTGTCAGTCCTTGCAGTTGTTCAGTAACTGATGCTGAATTCAGCACTGGGCCTGTTTGGAGGCCGAAAGGAGTCAGAGCCCCGAGTCCGGCTGAGGTCACCTTCCCGTGCCCCCACTGCCACCAGGACTGACCGCGAACCTTTCCTGGTTTGCTGCAGGCTGAGTCACTGGCACCAAGCACCCAGCACCTGGCATTGTGCCTGACCGTAGGCAGAGGACCCACAGCAGATGCCTGTTGAGCCACGGGACATGAATTTTAAAAGAAGCTTATTTATTTGTCAGGCAGTGTCACAGAGGGAGAGGAAGGGGGAGACACCCCGAGAACCTCTCCTGTGTTGGCTGGCTCCCCAGGGTGACAGCCTCCGCATTCCTTTATTTTGAAATATCAACAAAAGGGAATATGCAGCGAGAAAACCTACTGTGAGACTTAAGCTTTACTTCATTTATTTATTTAATTTTTTAAAAGATTTATTTTATTTTTTATTAGAAAGGCAGATATAGAGAGAAGATGACAGAAAGAAAGATGGTCCATCTGCTGGTTCACTCTCCGGGTGGCCATAACAGCCAGAGCTGAGCTGATCTAAAGCCAGGAGCCAGGAGCTTCTTTTGGGTCTCCAATGCAGGTGCAGGGTCCCAAAGTTTTGGGGTATCCACCACTGCTTTCCCAGAGCAGAAGCTGGAGCTGGATGGGAAGTAAAGCAGGTGGGATTAAAACTGGCACACATATGGATCCTGCTGCTTGCAAGGTGAGGATTTAGCTACTAGGCTATCGTGCTGGACCCTATCTTGTTTCTTAAAAAGATACTTATTTGTTCATCATTTTTTTTGAAAGGCGGAGAGAGAGGGCCTGGCATGATGGCTCAAATGGCTAGTCGTCTAGCTGCAAGTGACAGCATACCATATGGGTGCTGGTTCATGTCCTGGTCTTCCCACTTCCCATCCAGCTCCCTGCTTGTGACCTGGGAAATTAGCAGAGGATGGCTCAGGTCCTCGGGACCCTGCATCTATGTTGGAGATCTAGAGGAAGCTTCTGTCTCCTGGCTTTGGATCTGCTAAGCTCTGGTCCTTGTGGCCATTTGGGGAGTGAATTAGTAGATGGAAGATCTTCCTCTCTGTCTCTCCTCCTCTGTGTATATCTGACTTTCCAATAAAAATAAATAAATCTTTAAAAATTTTATCTGGGGAGGTGCCGGTGCACGCTGTATTCACTTCTCTGTGGTTTCTACTTTCTGGTCTTCCGAGACACCAGGCATCCGTTTCTCATCTTTACCAAATGTCAAACATTCCTCTGGACTAACTCGGAGTGACTTTTTACCATAGTGTTCGTTTTGCTATAATTTTTCCACCCGATTATTAACAGTTGTGTTTGTAAATAAGGCAGGGGTTAACATTGGCGTCCAGTAGCCACACCGTCCCCGTCTGCCTGCCCCTTGTGCTTGAACCTGGGCTTGCTCTGAGACAGGAGCAGCTTAGAGGAGCTGCTTGGGGCTGGTGACAGAGGAGGGCGTAGGGTTTCTGCTTTCCAGTTCTCCTGGACCTTAAGCAGTTAGACCTCATGGGGAGGCTGGTCCAACCTTGGTCATCTTGCAACTTTGGAGCTGGGGCTATGGGATCCAAACTAAATGATGTGCAGTTTATGCCACTTTCAAGCCATTACCATAAGCAGTTTAATGGTGAACCAAATACACGTTTGTGAGATTAAAAAAAAAAAAAACAATGGGAGACAGCAGTGCTCTATTTTGTCTTGTTTTCTGCCGGCGGGACAAGCAGTCTGTGTGTGAGATCCTCACGCTAGGACTGTCTGTTCCAGGGCAGAACGCGGGGAACCGATGGTTTCAGATGTCCTTCGCGGACCTTCTGCAGCGGCTTCTCCCCTCGGGCAGTGCTACGCAAACACGGCGGGCGTCGGAGCCGACCGGGGTCCCTGAGAGGAAGCCACTGACTTCTCATCTCGCTTCTGTTTCAGGTCAGCTGCTCCGGTTAAAAATGTTCCGAGAGGACCACGGGTCGTGGATGACGATGTTCTTCAGCACAGTCCTCTTCCTCTTCATCTTTTCCCACATTTACAACACGATTCTTCTGATGGATGGAAACATGGGGTAGGTGCCGGGAGGTCTGAGTGCTTCCTGGGGTCTTCCGACCTCCCTGCGATGCCCGGCCCAGTCTGCATGTTTCCTGACAAGACGTGCAGCTGTTTGTCAGCACTAGACAGCATCCTGCATGTGTGACTAATGTTCCTTATCCTGCAGGACTTGGCTGTCTGGAGGGCTGGTGCTAACTCATTGTAGTGTTGGAGAGTAGGCGAGTCTGGAGGCTCATGGGGCTCACGGACGCTCTTGCTCGCATAGCTGGCATTGGTGTTGGAGCATCCTGAGGGGGGTTGGCAGGGGTGCAGCTCGTTGCTCACTGAGACTTGGCTGAACCCAGGCATTAGACTACACGTCACGTGGTGGCTGCTGCTGCCCCCGCCCCCGATCAGCAGAGAGCATCCGAACGTGGGCCACTTGGCATTCATTTCGGGTTGTGCTCTGGTCCATTGGCCCCCAAGGGGGCTGGGTTTTCCTTAGCCTCTCCAGTTGTTTCAGAGGACTGTCCCCCGGGGTGCTCCCTTGTGGGCTGTGTGCCTCAGCATCTGTCCTCAGGAAGCAGCGGTGGTGGGAATTGTCCAATGCCAGCAGCGCTGCGAGATGAGCACATTTCTAAGAATCTTGAACTAAGTTGTGTAACCTACACACGTGTCTTCTTCTTGGAAGCTGACCTATGATCCGTTCGTTTTTATGCTGTGTGGTTTGTGTTGCGGAAAAGTGCTTATTCTGAGGGAAGAAGCTGGTTTGAAAGCTGTACATTAAATGCAACAATAACGCCCTTGCACGGTGGGTCACTTAATACAGAACTGCAGTGATTTTGACTGAACACTTACGCTTGTCTCCCCGTTCTTGGGCTGTCTCTGCTGCCTTTCCCAGGCCGTTGGAAGGGAGGTAAGTTGGAGATGGAACATCTGGGGTGTGAACCACCACACATACGGAATGACGGTGCAGCAAGCAGGGGCTTAATTCACTGTGCCACCACTCTGTCCCAGTCCCACAGCTTTGTATGAACAGTTGGATCTTTCCTCAAGACGCCTTGTTTTGTTGCGAAAGCATCTTTTCTAACAGGTGATGGTGCCTCTCTTTTCATCCTGGTGACAGATGGTTTAATTTGCAGGTATGAACTCTAAGTCCCTGTATGTAACAGGTGCAGTGCCAAGCTCCATGCCCTGTCCTTTGACCAAAGAGCCCCTCAATGCTGGCACGCCAATCTGGGGGATGCTGAGGCAGGGGGTGTGTTGCCAGGCTTCTCCAGGGAACTTGGAGGCAGGGGTGCAGTTCTGTGCCCTCTGCAGACGTGGGGACCTTCCGTTCATGATGCTGGCTGTGTCTATGCAGCCTGGGGCTCTGGCCTTGGCCTGGAGCCACCCACAACCTGCACACATTCCTGTGTTCTTGTATAGGGCACTTGTGTTGGCTTCTGTCCACTTTGGTTTAGCTGGGTCTTTGCAAAAATCTGAATCACATTAATGCATTTTTGTTTTTTTAAAGATGTACTTATTATTATTATTATTTTTTGAAAGGGAGAGTTTCAGAGAAAGGGCAGCAGGAGAGAAAGTAAGACATCTGTTCACTGGTTCATTCCCCAAATGGTTGTAATGGCCACTGGCGCTGGGCCTGCCAGGCCCAGACTAGGAGCTGCTGTCAGGTCTCCCATGTGGATGCAGGGCCCACGCCCTTGGGCCATCCTCTGCTGCCTTCCAAGTTACATTAACAAGAACCTGAGTGGGCAGGGCAGCCCTGGTGACCTGGTGTTGACATGGGGTGATGTGTCCCGTGAGGCAGTGCCAGCCTCACATTAACGTGTTTAATCATCGGAGCAGCCAATGGTCTGGGTGAGGGAAGAAAGGAATAGCATAATGTTCTCAGAGTTGTATCTGCAACCCTCACCATATCTGTGAAAAACTAACTAAACATTAATATGAAGAGAAGTGTGGCTGAGGCAAAGCCTCTGACCCAGCTGGAGCTGGGAGAGCCCAGTCGGTGACGCACCCTGTGTCCTGCCCGGGCTAAACCTGCACGCGTTACGGGTCCAGAGCCAGGATGGCTTGGCTCCTTGATGGATTAGGACGGGCAGCACTGCAGAGCCCCTCAGGCGACCAGATACAAACCAGCAGTGCCGGCCAGCAGTGACCTAGGCGGTAGCACCTGTAGTCCCAGGGCCCTGTCCCTAATGGAACTACCTGGATCCCGACAGTGACAACACGCATTCCTGCGTGCGCACGCACCAGGGAGAGGCTGCTGTCCCTTCTGCTGCTTCAGGCTGCTCCGTGAGACCTCCTCCAGCACGGGGCGTGTGGAGAAGTGACGGATGTCCTGTCCTGTGCCTCTCGCTCAGTGGGCTCAGCAGCGTTAGCAGTAGACACTGTTCCATCACCCCGCGTCCCAGGGGCAAGGGGCTGTGACGACTTGGAATATGCATGAAGTGAGAAATCAGTCTGTGTTGCTAAAAACAAAAGATAGAAGAGCCTTAGTGTGAGACCAATGTCCCTGTCTTGTCATGCTCTGTCATGCTCCCCTTCTCCCCCGCTGCGATAGATGACAGGGGCTTCCCACCCAGCCACTGCCAGCTGTGACAAGGGCCCCACCTCCTGGCCACTGTGATGGGTGACAAGGGCCCCTCCCCCAGCCACTGCCCACTGTGGCAAGGCCCCCTCCCCTCCGGCCGCTGCCGTGGGCTTTATCTTTGGTGCAAGCAGCCATTGGCAGCATTCCCTGAAGGTAGTTTCTTTGGAAAGAAAAGGGGAGGTTCTCACAGGAAAAGGGCAAAGCACTGGACTCCTTCCAGCGCGGGTTGTGTGGTCAGCATGGTCAGCCTGTGACCTTGCCATACCTTCTGACCTTGTGACCTTGTCATGTGTGTGACCTTGCTGTGTGACATGACCTTGCCACGTGATGACCTTGCCATGTGTGTGCCCTTGCCATGTGTGTGCCCTTGCCATGCTGTGACTTGCCATGCGGCAGGACCTGGCCTGAGGGGATGCTGTGTGCCCAATGTCAGAGCCTCGCGCAGACTCGCAGCGCTGGTCTTGCACATGGTGGACTGAGGATGTCTCTGAGTGCTTGTCTGACCCTGCTACCCGCGGAGTCCTGGGCAGCTCTGTGCTTAGCAGCGACAGGGAGAGGCACGCTCCAGGGTCCAGCCAAGGTCACATGGGACTGGGCTGGATGTGTGGTTTGGGGGCATTTTAAACACTTTTTGAGGCTCTTTTTGTGAAGACTTTCTTATTCCTGTAGTTCTTACAGCATCCGTGTTGTAAAAACTCAGGCCTGGGAAGGGTCTGCTGGTCATTTCAAAGACCTCGCAAAAGATGAGCTCATCTGCAGATAAGGATGAAGAGCAAAGCTGGGCTCACGCTCCAGGGAGGAACCAGGAATGCACCGGGATCAGCCACTGGAGGGCAGCAGATAAGGATGAAGAGCAAAGCTGGGCTCACGCTCCAGGGAGGAACCAGGAATGCACCGGGATCAGCCACTGGAGGGCAGCAGATAAGGATGAAGAGCAAAGCTGGGCTCACGCTCCAGGGAGGAACCAGGAATGCGCCAGGATCAGCCACTGGAGGGCAGCAGAGGGCATGTTTGCAGCGCCTGTGCTGCGAGTTGAGCCTGTCCTCACGCAGAGGACCTGGTGCTCCCTTGGGAAGTCTGACCCTCAGTGCTGAAATTCAGCTGCCGTGTTGTTGAGGGCTTTGAAGAAATCCACATAGCAACTGTTGTGATAAACACTGAGTGCTTTGAGATGTGCCTGACACCCCTTTGTTGTTTTTTGTTTTTAAAACTTTCTTTATATATTTGAAAGAGTTAGAGAGAGAAAGAGAGAGAAAGATAAAAAGAATGAGAGAGAGAGAGAGAGAAATCTTCGTCTGCTAGTTCACTCCCCAAATGGCTGCAGCAGATTAGAGCCGGAGCAGTCCAAAGCTAGAATCCAGGAGCCAGGAGCTTCTTCCAGGTCTCCCACGTGGAGTCAGGGTCCCAAGGACTTGGGCCATCTTGTACTGATTTTCCAGCCATTCGCAGTGAGCTGGATCGGAGTGAAGCATCTGGAACTTGAACTGGCACCCATGTGTGCTGGTGCTGCAGGTGGCAGTATAAGCTATGACAGCACAGTGCCAGTCCCCCAGCCCTTTGCACTTGAGCTCCAGAGGCAGTGTGAGTGTCTGAACCCACCCACGTATTATAGACATTGCAGGATCGCTCTGGTGGGCGTCGAGGGACTCAGACCTTGCCTCACTGGTAGGAACTTCCCGACCACTCATGTTGACTGTTTAGGGCAACGCAGGAAGAAGTGGATGTTCTGTTGTGCTCATCACAAAGAAAAGTTGTATTTTTCCTTGAGGTAAAGGCTTTCCCATAGAATTGTTGCCATACTGAACTTGGACCCAGAGCCCCTGGACGTGGACCCATAGAGTGTATATCTGGAAAATATGTGGAAGAGCGCCCCCCCTTGGCTGTGAGCCTCACTCTTCTCACCCTGGTCCTTGTTCCTCAGGGCATCGGCTCGGGGGAGTGCCACCACGATGCTGGCCGCCTTGACCCTGGCTGTACCTGGGAGGTGGCACGGTATAGTAGAAGCAGCCAAGGCTCTGGCCCGTGGCCCTCAGCCAGCTCAGCCCATTCCCTCCGGTGTGAGCTCACCGTTGGGTTGCCACGAACACTGCAGAAGCAAACTATGAAATGCAGCTAATGTGTCAGGAGCTCCCGCGAAGAGGTTTTAGGAACCAGGTCTCAGACAGAGCTGGAAATGTTGCTGATGCTGCCAGGAAATTGCAGACAGAGCCAGCCAGGAGCCTGCAGACACAGGCAGCCAGGAGCCTGCAGACACAGGCAGCCAGGAGCCTGCAGACAGACACAGGCAGCCAGGAGCCTGCAGACAGACACAGGCAGCCAGGAGCCTGCAGGCACAGCCAGTCAGAGCCTAGGCTGTGTGTGAGCTTGAAGGCAGACTTGTCTTGGATCAGGCCGCAGGCAGTGAAAGTGATTGGGGCCTTGTGAGAGCCCCTGACCCAGCAGGC